CATGGCTGCCCCGCCCCCTTGCGACGACGATTTCTTTGCTCGCACCGTGCTTGGTGGTATCAACGAAGGCGGCGTGAGAAACGACAACAAGTTAGGAAGGACGAGGTCATATCTGCATGACTTCGCTCGTTCGTATATGCTCATGATGATGCGCCGCCGCACTGTTGCGAGGTAAAATGGAGCGGTGAACAGCTTTGTTTGATCTTATCGCAATTTTGCATCCACCAGCCGCGGTCAGAGCGATGCCGCTCATGGCGGCAACTCCGTTTCTCCTGCTAAAGCAGATTTAGAAACCGTGCACAACCATTCAGATGCGTAGCCGTCAAACACGTTGCCAAGGCGGGAGGCAACTGTGGATGGAGACTCCCTGGACGGTTCAAGCAATCCATCTTCCAGTCAAGTCGTTGCTCGCATGGCCATGGCGCTCCAACGACCCCAAGGCAGTGCACTACTCGTCACCCTGCATTGTCTGGCTCACATGACAGACGGAAACATCGCACATGGCACAAAGATGCTCGTGAATATTATGGTTTTTTAGTCTTCGTCTGCTTCGAACGAATGCCCGACGACGAGTATCAGCACCAGGCGAGTCTCGATTGCCGTCCATGACGGCGCATCTTCCACGCAGTCGGATCACAGGGTGCTGCAGAGCGCATGTCGCTGCGGTCCTCTACGTCCACACACAGATCGTCGTCCACGACAGGCAGCACCTTGACGAACAAACGACATGCCATCCTTTTGATTGGACGAGGCAAACGTCCGTTTCAAAATTCAGCCAATCAGCATCCTGGACAAGGTTACGACCAAACACCGTCCTCTGCGTGCATTAAATTAGAGTGGCTCCGTCTTCGTCCCGTTCTAGTTGTGGCCGCGATTCGTCGAGCTGAGCGATCCGCTCGTGGCGATCGACAACGTTCGTCGGTGGAGCCGCCGCCCGTTCGCTGCTCGACACTTCCATCGCCCTGTCGTCGTCCGACACGATCTCAATCATATCTTGCATCGCCTTTGCCGTCTGTCTCGTCAAGCGCGCCAGCTTGCCGCGGCGCTTTTTGAGCTTGCCCTGGGCTACCTTTGACTCCCAATCCGAGTCATCGGCCCCACTGCTGTCGAACTCGTCGCTCGTGTTTGAGATGGACTGCGGGGCCGTCTGCTCCTCGTTGGGCTGTCGGCGTTTTTGCATGGCTGCCCCGCCCCCTTGCGACGACGATTTCTTTGCTCGCACCGTGCTTGGTGGTATCAACGAAGGCGGCGTGAGAAACGACATCATGGAACCCGCCGACAAGGCCACAGCCTCGTTCAAGGCGTTTTCAACCTTGCGTTTTTGCGCTTCCAGAGCACGATGTAGCAACTCAAGTTCGTGCTTCTGCTTCTCCAGCTCGTCCATGTTGACTGCTGTCGGCGGCGTTTGCAGCACCTCTACAGCCTTTGACACGATGACTGCATGAGGCAGCGAGCGTATTTCCGATGCCGACAACTCTTGGACGGCTTGCACATTGGTCGTCGTCGGTGACTGCTCCGTGTTGACCACCGCTTCACCGCCCGACCTCGCGGTACCGACAACGTCATTCGACTCTGTCTGCGCCATCCACACATTGCTGGCATGTTCAATTTGCACAGAACCTGATGTCTCCATCACGTCTTCATGCACGGCATTTTCACCGAGCCCGGACGCGTCGTCGCCGTCTTGGGGGCCGGGAGCGAGTTCGAGTGGTTCGACGTTGTTCGCAAGGGATTGCAACTCGGAAGGCGCTTCGACTTGCACGTGGTCAACATGGACGAGTTGTTCCGCGGGAAGTTTTTCCACAGCGTCGTCGACAAATCGCACGCCGCGCTCGTCGTCGTCCGACGACTCGGACGAATCCGACGACGATGGCAGGTCACTCGACGACGATGCGGCCATCTCACGGACGTCAATGTTCGTTTTCCCGCGGCCACCCATCGATCTCCGAGACGCTCCGCCGCTGGACATTCCCGTCGCGCGGCTCCAGTATGCTCGTTCCAGCACACCAAACCGTTGCTTTTCCTCGGCAATGACCTCCAACAAGTTTACGCGCTCGTCGACGACCGTGGTGGCTTGAAGCCACTTGTCCAGGGAATGCTTTTGTCGCACCATGGCGGTGTACCATGCTGGCGCTGCCCGCTGCTTGCCGCGCTTTCTCGTCGTCACATGGGCTCGAGATATCGCATGGAAAGGTCCACCCGCATGGCTGCGTTGTCGACCGCGGCCAGCCATCGACAAACGGCGCGTTGTACGAGCACCACCTGCCTTTTGTGTTGTAGTGTCCCCCTTTCCTTTAGGTGGAATCATTGGTCCAGACACGCGTGAGTTCTGCCGCTGGTCCGACGAGGGCTTCGCGCTGGACGTCGGCGCCTTGGGCGGCGGCGGCCCACTCGCTGCATTCGGTGCCTCCGATTCATTGCTGGACGACTCGTCGCTCTTGTCCTCGTTCAGGTTGAGCGTCAAATTGGAGTCCGGCGTCTGTTTCAATTGCCGTTCCAACCGCTTTTGCCGTCGCGCTTCGGCTTCAGCTACTTGCCGCGCGACTTCCTTTCGCCGTGCTTCGAGCTGCACCAAGGCAGCGCTTCTTTCCACGGCCGCGCCTCGCTCTTCTTCGGACCGGATCGCAGCTAGCTTTTCCACCTCCGCCTCCAACAGCCGTCGCTGCTCCTCCAACTTGAGGCGGTCGGCCTCCATCTTCGCACGCCTCTCCTTGGCCAGCTGCAACTTGACCGCTTCCAGCCGTTCGCGTTCCTTCTCCATCCGTTCCCACTCGTTTGCCATCCACATCGCCTCTTCCGCCTGCCGCCTCGCTTCTCGGTCGGCAATTGCTTGCAACTCGGGAGCTTTGAGCGCCTTCAACTTGGCTTCAGCTTCGACTTGCAGCCGCTTTTCTTCGGCGCGGGCCTTGAGGATCTCCTGTCGGTGGGCATGCGTCCGCAGTCGCTCGGCGTCGTCGTTCGCGGTCGACGCGGGGTTTTCCAGTTCATCGGACGAATCACTCGAGTGGTCAACGCCCCCATGGTTGTTTGCTTTGGCGGCGCTTTGAAAGGCGCTCAGTGCCGCCTGCCGAAGCTTTTCCCGGGAGGAAAAGGTCGACGAGGCCGCCTTCTTGGGCACCACGAGGGGCTCGTCGTCGCTACTGTCGTACGTTTTGTTGCTTTGACGTACGTCTTCGTTTTCTGGAGAGGACCAAGCAGGCGGTGGAAGCGACGGGAGCCCCAGCATCGCTCGCTTTTCGCTAGCGCGAGCCCGTAGTGCCGCTTGTTTCTGACGATGCCGGGCCGTGGCCGATGACGATGCGCTTGGGGCAATTGGGGACCCGTCATCGTTCGAATCGAGCGCAAACCGCACGGATTTGGTTGTTGCCGCCTCGTCGTGCTTTCGTTTCTGTTTGTTTAGTCGTTTCCGTTGGGATTTCGACAGGTCGGCGGGCGACGATACCACGGCCGCGGCATGCACCGCAGGTAGTGCGTCCTGTGTGAAGGCTGCAAGTGCTGGGGTAGGAGGCGTCGTCGATGGGACGTCAGGACGGGGGGGTGCTCGATGCACGCGCTGGAATTCGGCGGGCAGATTGAGCAGTACCGGTTTGAACCGATTGAAGTCTGGTGGGAGGGTCAGGCCTGCTACAGTCAAAGGCGTCAAAGGCTGCATGACAGCAGGGGCCAACGGCGCGGCGGCAGCGGTAGTGTGTGACTGTAGCACAGGTGCGTCGGCAAGGCGGGGCTTCTTGGCAGCCACGGACTCGTCAAATTCGAGCTGGCATATCTGCCGAGCTTCCTTCTGCTGCTTCGCAGTGGAGTAGGACGCTGAGATCTTGGCCTTTACGGCTTCAAGGTCAGGCTTCGACGGCGCCTTGAGGAACTGCCGCAGGTCCATGGCGTGCAGAGGCCACGATGGCTCGATGGGATTGTCGCTACCTGACCGACGAATTTATGTCTTATCCGGTTGGCTGGATGGCGACCATACATTTATCAAGTCAAAATGGCTGTAAATTCACCCCATTAAAAATCAACGGATCGAGTTGAACAAGTGGACGGACCATCGGCGTCGTGGGCGCCGCTAGGAATCCCGGCGGTGGGACTGCTCCTCGATGACCTTGCTCACGGCCGTGTTGATGCGCTCGTTCGTCACGTACAGCTGAAAGTACGAGTCGATTACGCTCGAAATGATGAAGCGCTCGACGAACGCTGGCAGGAGTGCCACGTGCAACTTGTTGTGGACAAATCGTGTCACGTTGGCCCGCAAGACCTGAACGGCACGAGCAACGTGGTTACAGGTCGATCGACGCCACCTCGCGTGTATTACCGCCTGGAACTCTTCGATCGATTCCACATGCCGCGTTGCCGCTTTCCCAAAGCATTCCCCGAGCGACGCGTTCACGGCTTGGTTCAGAACCGACAGGAGCGCCGCAACTCCTTTCTCGATCACCCAATTCACCACCGGTTGCGGCATTGGAATGGGTACATTCACCATCTCGGCAACTTCTCGACGCAAGATCTCGACGTCGTCAATCCCCATGGCTTCCCTACACACACAGAAGGCGGCGTGAAACTCCCTCGACCGTACTCCCCACGTCCCACCGAATGTATATCGCAATCAGCGACAGGGACGTGGTCTCCTTGGACAGAATGTCGTCGAGCTTCGTGTTTCCCATAGCATCGGTCAAGATTGCAATCGTCGCATGGATGATCAAGCGCTCGTCTTGTTCGCTCAAGTACGGCAAATACGGCAGCTTCTGGTGGTAGTACTCGAGCAGGCGCGACTGCAGCATGTCTCGCTGCTCTTCCGACACCACCTTGCCGGTTGTGATGCGCTCCCAGTACGACTGCGGCATGAAGCTCTCCACGTCAAACACAATCCGCTCCACGGCGCTCTGTATAATCTCCATTTGCTCGTCGTCCGCCATGCCTGGAATGTCCACTGCTGCTTGGATCAAGCCCCCCAGCGCCACGATCTATCCACCCCTAGTTAGCATCATTGCAGCGCACATGGACATGGTACGCTCGTCTTGGGCAAAGGTTCCCGTGTCAAGTCGCGGTGGCCGTCGAGCGAGTCGCTGCAGTGTGCGGAGTCCCTCGCCAGGTACACGCTTCCACCCAGCGCAAGTCCGCCACAAACAACGCGCCAGGCTGTGCGCGATGGTGATGCGATGGCCATCGTCAAGGACGCTGCATGGAGCGCCGCGAGTCGCAGGCCGAGTCTGCGGGCCATGAAATATTCCCAAGCGAAAATGATACTTTTCCGTTGTTGAGTCCCGCTGGAGTGGCAACGGTCGCATAAAGTGACACTCCATTTTCTTCGAAAAAAGAACACCTTTTTGCATAAAGTGACACTGGTTTTTCGGAGAATGACACTGCTATTCACCGCCACGACGTTATAAAATTGATACTTCGTTCATTTCGCCTTGAGCAGCATCGCGACGGCGGTGTCGATGCGGCTGGTGGTCACGCAGAATTTGAAATACGTCTCAACAACCTTCGAGATGAAAAATTCCTCGACGAAGGCGGGCAGGAGAAAGACGGTCATGCTGCGATGGAGCAGCGCCACGACATTCACCCGCAAGACCTACCAACACGTCAAGCCTGGGCGATTTTAGCACTCGCACCTCTTGAAAATCCGCCGTCGACGTCACTTGGCGCGACGCTGATTTCCCAAAGCACTCTGCGAGCGACACATCCACTGCTTCGTTGAGGATCCCGACCAGTGCCGACACGCCCTTCCCGATTACCCACTTGACGACGGGTTCGGGCAGCGGGACCGGCAGGTCAATGATTTCAGACACTTCTCGTCGAAGTGCGTCAACGTTGTCGATTCCCATGGCTTCCCGGACGAAGATGGCAGCCAAGGAAACGGACGTCGCGTCCTGCGCGAGGATGTCGTCGAGCTTCGAGTCGCCCATGGCGTCCGACACGATCGCAACCGTTGCGTGCACAATAAGCCGCTGGTCGGACTCGGTCAAGTACGGTAAGTGCAATGACTGTTGGAAATGCTGAATCAGCCGAGACTGCATGAGTTCACGCTGCGCGTCCGGCACCGTCTTGTCTGCGCGCATGATGCGATCCCAGTACGACTGCGGCATGAAGTTCTCCATTTCGGTCACGATGCGTTCTACAGCGCTCTGGATAATTTCCATCTCCTCGTCTTCGTTCATGCCAGGAATGTCCACGGCCTCGTTGATCAGCGCAGACAGCGCCACGATCTACACAACGTTGACGTCATACACACGTGCAGCAGTGGCGTACGCTTTGCTGTGGCAATGGATCACGCGCCCACCCTCTGCATGACGACGACGACTTTGACAACTCCACGGCGCACGCAAGGCCACATCCGACGACCAGGCTTGCGCCCGTCAGGAATCGCGACACCTCACCAGGTGCGGCAAGTGGCAGGGCTGCATGGAACGCTGACTGGAGCAAGCGACGACCTGCCATCGCGAGTGTGGTCGTGCCGACGTAAACCTTTCTGTGCGGATGCTCTTCATCAACATGGACGTATCCGGAAATCCATCAAAAATAACCGGATGTCTACACTCCGGATACCATGTTGATATACCGGATAATCTCCGGATACGGAACGATGCGAGCGAAGGTTGAAACGGCACCGAGTTTCTCGTGAAACACCCCATTGCAAGTTCCATTGCACGCGAGCAGCATGATGGCAACGTCCATGGTATCACCGACTCTGGCCGCGCTGTCCAAGGTAGACGGGAAAGACGTCGCCGCCGTGAAGGATGAGATTCGTCAGTCCACCTTGGCCAACGGCAACCCCGCGTCGCCGACGTCCCAGACGACCACCGCGGCCGACACGGCTTCCGACTCGGATTCGAACCAAGAAGATGTCAACAGCCCACGAGACACATCCGCAACGGCTCTCGCACGAACGTTTTCAGTGCCTGCCCCATACTTGGCGCTCCAGAGCCAAGATGCTGGCGCTGCAACCAGCGCACCATTCGCTCGAACGGCATCCGCTCCCGTCTGTGTTCCTCGTGAAGACCACCATCCTCAAATGCCCCTGAACCATGCATTGTCTCTGCCTCCACAAAACGCTACTCCGTCCAAGTTGCCTTCGCTTCCAAAAGATGCCATCGAGGACGAATTCGACATTGTCGTCAACGAGACCTTGCCCATGAGGTACCTTCCTCGCACATGCTCCATGGTTTTGTTCCTAACGGTGGACATGCCACGTGTAGCCTTGAGTTCGTCATGGATGCACTGTGGCGCGACGACCAATTCACCATTGATGGCCTCAAAAAAGTTGGGGAGACAAACGTGGTCGTGTCGCCTTGGTCCGATTGTCCGGTGTCGTACTCGGCGTTTTCCCGCTCAGAAACGTTCCAAAGCGAGCGCAAAGTGACGTTTATCCACAACAAAAAAAACTTCATCGGACCCAGTGCGATCCCGACGACGCAGATCCACCGGTACAGCAGCTCTCGCCGACAACGGCCTTTCAAATCAGCGCTCGAGTAGGTACACATTCACGCCAGGCCAACGGTTAGTCGTGAGTGTGACGTCCAGCGTGCACGACGCGCCGTTTTGCGACTACTTTCGTGCAGAGAGTCGTTGGGTGTTCAATGCGTCGCCGTCCAGTCCCAACGAGTGCTCTCTCGTGACCGGAATGCGGCTCCACTGGTCCAAAAGCACGTTTCTGAAAGGCCAGGTACGCCTCCACCATCACGCGATGGTTGCTTCACGCGGCGATGGATAGATCGAAGGGTTTGCCAAGTCCGAGTCCAAGACGGTCATGCTCAAGTGGGTAAAGCAGGCCATCGAGGCGTACAACGCCGCCCATCCGTCCGAGAAGCAAGTGCATCGCACAGTCGATGGCCGTGTCGCGGCCGCCGCGTCCGAATGCGACCGCAACAACCTGAACGCCGAAGCAGTCACACCGTCGAAGCTCAATCCAGACATAAGCCTGAGCCTCCTCCGCCGCATGAACGTGATCGGGCTGGTTGTGCTGGTCGTCCTCTTGCTCCAAGTGATGGCGACGCTGTACAACCTCAAAATGGCCACGAACGAATCCGTGCGACTGCAAAAACAACATCAAGAGCTTCTCAGCCAACTCATGGACAAAATGAAGTGCGTCAAGCGCACTGGGTGACCTCCCCAGGAGAACTCCATTTATTAAACAACGTGTCTGCTCATGTCGGACCTCCTCGTGTTTTTCCCAGCGCCAGAATTGAATACCAACTCGTCGCAATGCAAACGAAGCTGCGACCACTTTCGTTTGGACGCGTAGCCGTGGTTGAGGTCCCGATGCCAGCCGCCGTCGTGCTACAGCTGGCCTGTCAAGACCAACCTGGCTGGCTGGTTTACGAGAGGCCCATTCTATACAGCGCCATAACTGCGCCTTGACCAAAGGAAGGAGAGGCACGTCCTTGCGCACTGTTGAATTCGCCGTATCCATGAGCTCGTTCCTCATCTTTCTCGCTACCTATGCTGTATATGTGGCACAAGTTGTTCTGGCGGCGCCGACGACCATTGTGCGGGATGACCCTTCCACTAAGAACCGCGTCGTTATCCTTCGTCGCAGCTACATGTTGTCTCTACGCGATGACGTGTCATCCGACGAGCACCCTGCGCTTCGGCGCTTGATTGAAAGCCTTGAAGCCCCGTTGGAAGGAGGCCAGCGCCGCGCCGGCATTCCTGCCGAGTATGCCGTGAACCTGATGCAACCGTTTGGAGGCGCCAACGCTGGGGCAGACGCTGCGGCGCAAGAGAAACACAAGGCCGAAGCCAGCAGTCTCGACAAGGCGCACTCCGGCACGTCTGCCGAGAAGAAAGCCGACCGCGGTGATATCTTCTACGAAAAGCTCATCATCTTCAAGACAAGCCATGACCGTGTGAAGGAGAATGCCGAGTCGGATAACAAGCGCCTGAGCAGCCGCGATGCGGTCCAAGAGGCAGAGCGCAGCCAAAAGGCCAAGCAGCACCAGGTCGTCGGGTAATCCTGCCACGTCATTCCTCCGTCGCGATGGAGATTTAGGCTTAACGAAATGCAAAATGATTGGTTAAAATGTGAGTCAATTCTCGCCAATCGACCAAATAGATTGCGATGGACACGGCGGTGGCGGCGGCAGCAACCGTCCAGGTGGACCCACAGGACTTGGCCACGTGCATTCGGGTGCTGGAAGTCTTCCATGGCAACATGGACGCCTTGAAAGCCGCTCCATTCAAAGCCCTTCGACGCGCTGTCGTGCCGCTCTGCGAAGACGTCCGCAGCCGCCTCTTTCATGGCCGAGACGTTGCGTCCTACGACTACTCGAAGAAGAAGAAGCTAGACCGTAAACGCAAAGCTCAGCAGGCGGCTGCTCTCGACAAGCAGTTTATCAACAACACCAAGCTGCGAGCCCAGCGTCTGCAGGCTCTCGAGAGTCTCACTGCGGCGGCACCGATGCTGGCCTTGGTACCCGACGGCGCCGTCGTCGACGACGCCCCAGACACGCCCATAGACCACGAAGACGAGCAACCCAAGACACTGCACGGCTTTCGATCGTGCTACGCATGCAAGAAGCGCTTTGACACGCTGCATCACTTTTACGACCAGTTGTGCCCCGATTGCGCGGCACTCAACTTTGAGAAGCGCATGCAAACGGCAGACTTGACAGGGTACATTGCGCTGGTCACCGGTGCGCGCGTCAAGATCGGGTTCCACACCGCCCTGAAGCTGCTTCGTGCAGGGGCCACCGTGATTGCGACCAGTCGGTTTCCCCAAGACGCCGCCATTCGATATGCCAACGAAGCCGACTACGACACGTGGAAGGTTTTTTTGCTGTTTGACCGTTGAATCCGTGGCTCATGCGTCGATCTAGTCTCGCCTGCACGTGTACGGCCTGGACCTGCGCGACTTGGGTGGCGCCGAGGTCTTCATGGACTGCATCGAGCGCACCTTCCACAGCCTCGACATCGTCATCAACAACGCGACCCAGACGATCCGTCGACCGACGCACTACTACCAGGTGCGCGCCATGCTTCCTCGCATCGTGATCACTTGACAGAGCGTGAGGACAGCACCTCTTGACCAACGAGCGTCGATCGCTCGCCGACACGCCCGACAACATCCGCGACGTCTTGAGCGGGAATGCCTCGTTCCAGCACGCATTGACCGTGCGACTTTTCAAGTTGTTGGGCGGTTCTCATGGGCAATTTCTCGCAGGCGCCGCACCAACCCTTGACGCTAACGCATGCGTCGTCCGGTGGGGACGACGACCATGGAGTGCTGCCACGTGAAGCCGTCGCGATGCCCGCCGCAGCAGCGACCACGTCGGCCGAACTGTCCCAGGTTCCGCTAACAACGGACGACAAGGATCTGTCTGCGGAAGAGCGCGCCGCGCTGTACCCCGTGGCGCAGTACGACGCCAACCACCAGCAAGTCGACCTGCGCCACACCAACTCGTGGAAGCTCAAGATTGACCACGTTGAGTCGCCAGGTACGACTGCCACCACCGCCCCCGTTTGTTTCAAGCGCGCTCATCGATTCTGCTCCAGAGCTCGCCGAAGTGTTTGCCATCAATGCACTCGCGCCGTTCATCCTGAACAAGCGCGCGATTTTGCTCTTTGAAAAGGTAAGTGCGCCGTCCCGATGTCCAAGGCTAAAGGCCATCGGCAGAGTTCACGGCCGCACCACTTTATCGTGAACGTGAGCGCGATGGAAGGCAAGTTTTATCGGTACAAGACACCCCACCACCCGCACACAAACATGGCCAAGGCGGCGGCCAACATGATGACGCGGACGTGCGCGGACGAGCTCAAGTCGCGAAACATCTACATGACGTCGGTCGACACGGGCTGGATCAACGATGAAAACCCGCGCGCCAAGGCACAGGACATTGCCATGAAACACAACTTTCAGGTACGACGGCGGTCTGTGTCGACCTCTTGCATCGTGACGATGATGGCAATAGACGCCCCTCGACGAAATCGACGCGGCGGCGCGCATCTTGGACCCCATCTTCATTGGATTCCAGGACGCCACCACCCAAGGCACGTTTCCCTCGGGCGATTTCTTCAAAGACTACAAACGGTCCGAGTGGTAGTTGGGCACCGAAGCCCATATCGGCTACACCACATCCTAACGACTAACACACGACGACATTCGACATTTGTGGCCACGATGAACCTGTGAGAAAGCGATGGCTGTGCGCGCGCGCGCGCCAAGACATGTCGACACAAGCACGCAGTCGATGCGCGCTTGGGTGGTGCAAAGGTCGAAACAGCGCTGGGAACGATGCACACAAAGAACGGATTGGGACTCACAAGGACCGGTCCAAACGCTCAGCTCAAGTACAACGCGACGTTGGCCGCGATCTGCTTGTGCGCTGCTTGAATGGCTTGCGTGTCATTGACTTGCGGCGCATACATATCGCGGCAGTGCGACGTGCCGTCGATAAAAAGGACCGTGTTTTGCGCGTCGTCGACCTTCTTGGCGTCCACCACCCCCAGCGGATACCTCGACACCCGCCGTGAGCCCAACCGATCATGTCGTTCGACGTCAGTGCTGCGTACCATGGATCGAGGTTCCCGTTCGTAAACGTGATATTGTCGACTTGAGGGCGGTTTCCCCGCAGCCGCTTGTTGGCAGCGTCGACGTTGGGGAACTTGAACGCATGGCCAAACAAGTGCTGGCATAGCTTGGTCCCGAGCAGGTTGAACGACGTGAATTGCAACGGCCGAAAGATGTTGGTGTCGTTGGGCGCGTCTGTGCCGGCCGACTGCGTGTACCCGAGCTCGGTGCACCGCTGGTACGTCCACTGGCGCTCGATGCTCGTGCCGTCGAATTCCGTGCCGGTGAACGACGGCTGCTCCATCAGGCCTATCAACTTCTTGTCCATCATCCAGGTCGGTGCCGCCACGTACTCATGCCGGACGACCCGGAAAAAGTCGACATGTAGCACCCGGTGGGGCTCGCCATTGCCAAAAAGCCCGCGAGCTGGGCCAGCGGTTTTTCCGTCGTGACCGACGCAAAGTACTCGCACGTGGCTTGAATGTTGACAGGGTTGAAGTCGTTGTACTGGGCGACGCCTTGGAATTGGTTCTTCACGATGCTCTCGAGCACCATGGCATCCATGTCGTTGGCGATCGGTTCGCACAACGTCAACACGTCGTACAGAGTCGCGTTGTGGTCGGTGGGGCGAACGCCTCGGCGATGCTTGGATGCCTTCTTCGAGCCTTTCTTCTTTGCGGACGAAGGATGCGCCTCAAGTGCCTCCACAATCGCGTCGTCGAGTGCTTGCATGGCGTTTCGGATCGACTCGCCGCACGCTGCGCCACCCACGCGCGTAAAGTCGTTGCTCACGACTTCCATGTACTCTATGGCCCCGTCCATGACGATCCCCACGGCGGTTGTGTGCTAGTACCTTTGTAATCGGCCATCAAGAGAAGTGGCGCGGAACTCGCGATGCCCCCCACCGCCAAATGCGGGTACTCCTGTTTGAACCACACCGCCAAATTGCCTGGATAACTCCCGCCAAACACAATCCACTTGGACGCGTCCGTCGTGCGGTACTTTGTTGTCACGTGGCTGTGAAACAGCTCGAGGTCTTTGAGAGCTTGATCAATCGTCAAAAACTCCAAGTTTTCGACCGTCATGTCTGGCGTCGGGTTCGATTCGCCGTAGTAGCGATGCTCGACGGACAGCAGAAGCGCCTTGTGCTGAATGGCCAGCGTGTTCATGTAAAACATCTCGTGGCTGACGTCGCTAGGTTGAATCGGTGCTTCGCCGCTGCCAGTGGTGCATCAAGACCGGTACATCGAAGCGCAGACGCCTTACCCTATCATGAGAAACACAGGAAACCCTGGGCCACCCCAATGTTCTTCGTTGACGTAGTATCGCTGCCGCCAGTACTTGGGCTTCTTGGCATAGTGATTCACAACAGCTTTCGTGAACACATGTGGCTTCAACGGCTCGACGTCGTCGAAGTAGATGCCCTGCTTTTCGTACTTTTCCTCGATCGTGTCTAGGTTCAAGTGCGGGTCGAACGCAGACTCGAGGTGGGATTCGAATGCTTTGTCGAGTTTCTTCAGGTGCGGCCCGTCCTTCTGCAGACGCATGCTCTCATGGGGGTCGAACGGAGTCCCGATCGCTGCAGATGCCGGCCTCCATTGCGCTAACGCGACGACGGCGCCAAGAGCGATCGCGCGACGCAGCCGTGCCATCTCGGTTTGGATCGAATTGTGTTCGTGTTGTTACAATTGACCACCGCGTATCCGGATGACCGAGTTATCCGGATACCCCAAGCGAATTGTCCTGATGTCCAGAAGGGTGGTTTGATTGGACAAAATGAACAAAATATATCCAATCAGAGGTTACTCTCCCGACATTCCACAGATTTGGTTCCAGCGGCGTTGCTCCACACACGAAGAAGGGGGCGGGCGCGACGATGGCCGACTATGACTCGGACTCCAAGCGTCGATCGAGCAAGAAGAACTTCAGAGGTCGTGGCCAGCGGGCGGCAGGTCTCGCCAGCAGCCGTAGTGTCTTCGACAGACTCGACCAAGGCGAGTCCAAAGCCGCAAACGTTGGCCAAAAGAGCGTGGAAGGATACGTCTTGTTTGTGAGCAACGTGCATGAAGAAGCTCAAGAAGAAGACTTGCTGGACGCGTTTCAGGAAGTAGCAGAAGTCGCAAACATCCACTTGAACCTCGACCGGCGCACGGGATTTGTCAAAGGGTATGCGCTCTTGGAATTCAAGGAGCTCGACGACGCCAAGGAAGTGATCAAAGAAATGAACAACAAGGACCTGCTGGGCAACCAGCTCAAAGTCGACTGGGCATTCGTCAAGGACGGTGGAGATAGCAAGGGCGGACGGTCTTCTCAGCAATCGGCTGCCCGCAGCCGACGACAGTAGTTGCTCATTTTGCACTGATCGCGGTAACCTCTCAACCAGTACGGCTTTATTACATGTTCCAGCGACGACATCCCATCGCGACGTCCTACGCGGTTGTGAAAAGACAACCTTAATAGCTCGACAGCACGGCTGAGCCACGTCGACCGCGTGTACTTCTTGTGCACCATCCAACGATTGCCACGATGGTCGTGACTGTCCACCTCCTTCTCACCGTCTTCGCGGCATCATGGACAGGGAGCCGCCGTCCGATCAACAAGATGAGGGCAACCACAAAACATCCAAGCATAACTTATCACTTATACACATTACACGATTCAGCGAGGTCCCATGACGGGCGTCCACGTGTCAAATATGGAGCGCTTGGTTGGCGCCAGGAGCTGTCGGCGGCCCAGGACAAAGGCCAGTCCCCAGAAGACCGCGGTCATCGTGAGCCAGGCGTAGGCAAAGAAGAGCAGCAACTGGAGGCCTGGCTTCCCGGTCGTGCTGCACAGCGGATTTAGCTCTTCCCGGCCAAGGGCCGCGTTCACGACCGTGCCGCAGTCTGGCGCCCACTGGTCTTTGAGGTACCCCAGCAGAACCGGCGACGGGACATCGCCGAGCAAATGCAGGAGGAACGTGCTGAGCCCGAGCGCAAACCCTTGGCGGCTGCGGTTGACGCTCAGCAGCACGCACACGGTGAACGCGGACTGCGTCATGAAGAGCATCACGAGGCCGACGAAGAGCAAGCCGAAAAAGGCGGCGGGGACGTCCATGAGGATGGCCGATCCGAACGCGCACGCGATGCCCGCCGTGACCAAGGTAAACATTTGCCGCGTTACAATGTACAACCGGTGGTCGGCGTCCGCCTCGTGCGATCGGCACTGCAAGTCGACGGCAAAGCCGCCGAGGGGCGACCCCACGAGCCCCGCGACCACGACCATGGCCCCGAATGCAGTCGATGCGTAGTACTCACCGAGGATGTTGGACCCGATGAGGATGGCCGGGCCAAACGACGCCAGCCCGGCGATCGTGAAGCTGTACGCGGCCCAACCAAAGGTCGCAGTCAGGAAGAGCGGCGACTGAACGACGGCCCACAGTTCGCGGAAGAACGACAGGGACGTCCCCCGGTGCCGCGACTCATCGTCGTACACGTCTTGGTGGGCGAGCGTCGACTCTTGAATCATCGGGATGTCAATGTGGTCTGGGATGCTCGTGTAGCACAAGTACGCGAGCGGCATCATGGCGATGGCGGCTAGAATGAAACCCCAGTCCCACCCGATCGTTTGCGCCGTCAGGCTGCCGTAGGAATACCCGAGCGCCGTGCCGGCCGAGATGGCGCACCCAAACAGACCAAGCCACAGCGTTCGCTTGTGCTCGGGCGCGTGCTGGTCGATGAAGGACGGCGTCACGGCCTGGAACGACGACTCGCCGATGCCGCTGAGGAGCCGACCGACGAGGAGCAAGTAGTAGCTGTTCAGGGGCCGCGCCAGGCCGCTGATGGCGATCGCCAGCGCCCACAGGCACAGCCCAAACGCCGCCAACCGGAACGGGCGGCGCCGAATCGAGAGGTACCCAAACACGCAGATGAAGATCGAGTACGCTGCGATGAAGGTCGACACGAGGACGCCAATGTAGACCGAGACGCGGTCGGGCGCCACGTCGAGCGTGTGGTGGATGAACGACTGGAACTGGATCGGCGCGCCGGGCACAATCCCGCGGTTGATGTAGTTGAGGACGTTGATGGTGCAGAGCAAGGCAAAGATGTGCTTGACGTTTGTGAACTTCATCGAAACCAAGTGTGCACGAGGCTGGGCCGGCCACCGCGTGGCGCGGCGACTGGGTGTCGGCCAGGTGGCGCGACTGCAGCCAGTTGCAGGGGCAACCCGTCCGCCTGTCTCGTATGGATGAATCCTGAGAAGACAGGGTCCAAACCAAGACCCGATCGCATCTCCCCCCCCCTCGCCTGTCGAGCCAATGGGTCGGATGGTTCTGCACCTCATGCCACGGCGTCGACGACGCGCGAGGTGATCGGCGCCGCGACACCTCGCGATCCATGTTTCGCCATCCTTCCATGAGCCCGATCACTCGCGCCGCTCCTGTCGTGATTTGGAAGAAATTCGTGGCGGACACGTGAGACCTGGACAGATCTTCCTCGTCCATGGGCCATTCATGCACGGTGGCAATACCAGTAGGATGGATGATGGCGCTGGAGATCATGTGTGGCTCGAAGCCCTGGCCGTCGTCGACAGGTTCTTGATCGAGCCACGGCGTTGTGAGGACGGCGCCATGCACCAGTGGTGGTCGCCCACCCACTACAGCAACTCTCTCCATGGCCGGCAGCAGTCGTGCCATAGATGAGGGCGGCGAAACCTCGTTCCAAGTGTCCAGCGATAAATCAGAGCCCGGCCACGCACCCAGGTCCACATGTTGCGGTGGATCAATACATGGCTGGTTGCATCAAGGCATCATGGAATTCCGCCATGAGACACGTCCAGCCTCTTCGTACGTATGCTGCACGCGGCGCGCGTGCTGGCGAGAACTAGCCTGGCAGTGTGTCGTTGGCATGGCAAGCGCCGTCCCCAATGAAACATGAAAACGTGTGTCCGCTCGTACTTCTCACTTGTCGCCACGACGGCGCGCGCACGCCGACCAAGTCCGTGCGCATTCAACAGCATTGTGCAAAGACTAGGGAATCGCAACCATGCGGTGTGCTAGTCGTGTATGCTGGGTGAGGGTTCGTCCCAGATGGGTTCGTCTCAGCCATCACGGCGACCGTGCGCAGCAACGCCTGCGGCACTGGACTAGCTCACAACATCGCGCTGGGACGGCGACAAGCGGGCCGCGCGTTGCCAAACCATGATGGCGCTACCTGGCCGGCCCTTTGCCGTACGATCGGCGTGGGGACACCGCCCTTGTCAGCTGCACTCTCGATGACTGGAGTCGTGCCATCGCATGACCCAGTCCCGTTTGGTGTGCGCCATGGCGGTCGTTCTTACCAACCAACGCAACAAAAGCTAACTCCAAGAGCCGACGAACGGCATTTCTGTTGATCCAAAGCACTTCATGTGTCATGACTAAGGCGTGGCGCTTGCCTCGACTCTTGCGCGCTCATGGCTGAGGTAGCAGTCGGCAGGTCGTTGAGCGCTCCTGACGTGGCCTGTGGTCGGAGCTTCGTTGTCGCAGTGGCGCAGGACAGTCCCAACAGGGTCCATTCGAGCCACATAAACAACCAACACGACTATTTCCAGATGGAGTTGGTCGAGCTGCCATCGTCGCCCACGACACTGCCGCACGACAGGGCCCTTGTATTTTGAAGCGCGCCAACAATGACAGGGGAAGGCATGTCGACGAGGAGATGGCACAGGAAAACACTCCATCCACTGGCGAACCGCCGGTCCTGTAGGCCATCCTGAGCACAGGGACACAGGTTGGGCCGACGATGTCCGAAAGAGCAGAAACAACGACCAAGCAACCGTCCGGCTCGTTCAGCAGGGCCCACGGCATGAGCGCCATGGAGATTCCCCCTATTATTGAATGAAATGGAGAATGGCGGCTTTGTGTCCCCGGCATGGATAGTCGACGAGGTAACTCACAGGGGCGACTCCCTGCCTGAATCCGAACGAGGATGACTGGTCCGACCGCCCCAAGCCACGTACGCCGCGCGAGACCGACGCTCGACTAATTAACAGACGGGCCATTTGCTCCCGCATCCACGTTGAGGCGATAGCAGGTCCGAGGTAGGCGGTCTGTGGCGGCGGCTGAGCGCACGGACGAGCATTTCCGCCGTGGACGTACGCCAACTGCATGTCAAACTCAGGATACCTCCAAATCGGGAGCAGGGCCTCTCTAACGATGTAAAACCCGACGTCGCAACCAAAGGTTTGCGCGGCGAGCGTCCCAACCAAGTGCCCGATCGTCGCAGTCCCGACCACGATGCGCATCCAATTAGTCCGAGCGTTCGCTTGCTGGGCGGGGCAGGCACGGCAACGAAGGCTGGCAAGACGACCTGGAACGACGTTGTGCCGACGTCATACAGGAAGACGACGACGGCGACGAGGTAGAAGCTGCTGAGGGGTTTGGACAGCTCGGCTAGCCTTGAGACAATGACCTCGACGAATCGACCGAACGCGATGCGGGTCTTTCCCCCAAGTCGCACGTAAAGGCCGAGTCGGACGCGACGAGCGCCGACACGAGCACTCTAATGTGCACGATGGCGTTGTCTGGCGCCATAGGCAGCGGCTGCTGATACGGACCGCTGGAACAAGGCGGGATGACGCGAGGAAGATGCGGCCATGGACGACGCAATGGAATGCAAACGTGGTCAAGGAAGGAGATGAAGGCCATCGCACGTGGTGGATTCCATGACGCCCCTGTCATGTACACACTGCAGCCCTGACGCGGTGGTGCTTGCCCAAGCCGCATCGATAACAACGTTGGCACGAACAGGTCGTTCTAGTTCATTGGACGCGAGCCGCACAGCGGACGACGCGTGTGGACAGAGTCGCATGAGCGACCCAAGCGCCATTCGACCTGGCGTCGGCCTGCTTTTGTCTGTTGAAACTAGACATGGCGTCGACGGTGGATGGGACGCTTTTGTTGTTGAAACTCACACGTCGATTGATGTCGGACGAGAGAGCGACGCCATGCGGCTGGTTTGCCTGCTCCCCCGCGCGCGCACTCACTCGGATGGTCCACCACCGACACAGGGCGATGACCCCTCGATGAACTAGGTGACGAAGTCGTGCGAGCTCGCCAAGACACTGTGAAGGGTACTGCAGGTTTTGCTGGCAGCCTCGTCGAAGTTGGAGCCACAGTGTGCTGCACCAGCGGCACGTCCCCAAGTTCTCTGGTCGCCTGGCATCGTTCATCGATGGAGGTGTGCTGGTTGGTGCTGGTTGCAGCAGCAATGCTACCCCGTCGTCATCATCGGAGCCGTGAGGACATGGGTCGTCGAGTCCATAGTGGAGTGCGCTTGGAGCGGATGGCACCAGTCAGTGTGGCCGACGGTCCCACGATGCGTCGCGACGGCGACCGCCCCACCTTTTCGTTGTACACGGTGCTCTGCTCTGTCTCTCCACCATCAACTTCATATTTCCGCTGCATCACAACACTTGCAGCATGCATGGTTTACAGGACTGTGAAATCTACTCTTCCATGTCGCTGCCGCTGGACGACGAAATGGACGACGCCGACTTGCTGCGACGGGTGTCCTTGGCTCCTTCAGGCTTTGGGCCGTCCGTCTGCTTCACATCGTCCTTTGCTTTCGACGCAGATCGAGCACGAGCGGAGGAGGATCGGGGCAGCGACACCTTTTCGCTTCGACGACCGCGGCTACGACTACGGCTTGGGCTAAACGACCGGCTTGGTCGACGATACCGCGGCGATCGACTACGCGACGGGGACGGAAACCGGCCTCG